GGTTCCTTCTCAAGTTACCAAGGGCCTTGTAAACTCCCAACACGGACGCACAGTTTTCATGGTGCTGGGCATGTTTCAGAATGAGATGTCTGCTTTCTGCAAGTGCTTCTTGCTGCTGATTCACAAGCATTATGTTGTTGCAGTGAGCAGCAGGGAAGATGGTGATGGATATCCATTCTGCAAGGAAATTAGTGTGCAGAGAGCAGCTGATCCTCACAGGAAAGCATTAAGAGGTGCCTTGTGCCCTATCTGCACAAGGAATGAGCAATAGCAGTGTAAATCATCCCAATCCTAGTTAAGTACCACTGCGGTTGGGACTGTGCTTATAAAACACTTTTGGATTAGTGTTCACCCTCCTGAGGCAGTAGCAGCACCATGTACAGGTCTGGACAGCCACACTGGCTGTGCCCACTTGCTGCTGGCACAGAGCTCATGCATGGACAGTGCAGCAGCACAGCCCCATGCTGTGACCCATTAGAAGCTCATCTGCTCCATGACTTCCCCTCCTGGGACGTCCAGCCACATAAGGGGCCTGTGCCTCTCTCAGCTGCTAAAAGCTTTGCTCTCACATTGCTGTCCTCTGCCACAGACCTGATTTCTACAGGTAAGTGGGCATCACCCAGCCCTGCACATTTCAGTTCTTTGCCATGTTTCTTGATTCCATGTTGCCCATTGTACAAGGCATCTCCTGCTGGGAGGGAAGAAAGTCCAGTGTTCCCTGACAAAATCCCAGTGCAGACTGGACCTGAAGAGATAGGACAGTCAATGACATGAAGCAAATAGAGTTTTGAACTTCTCCTGTTGTTCAGGGCAAAAGTCTGGAGGCAAGTGCTGCTCTAGTACCAACAGACATACCAAAAAAAGTCCATTTGTTAGCTTAAAAACTGGAACCTTTGACTGAGTGTTCTAACTTTCTGTGGCCCGTTCAAGGAAGCACTCTGTTAATCTTAGAAGGAGTGCAAGTAAACAGATGAGCAGTCCAGGAATTCTTGTTGTGGGTCATGCAGTCCCAGGTACCATGGGATACAGGGTGTTGATGCTGTCACCATCCCCACAGCAAATCTGGTTGTGATCCCAGAAGGACACAATTAAGATTAACAGGATGTTGTGCTTTTTTAATCTCCATCATCCAGACATGCCAATGTTAAAACTGAAATTACTTTCAGAACGTAATTGTTTTTATCTTTCTACAGTTTTCAGAGCTAGTATCAAAATAGTTTGCTTTACTTCCTTTTTTACAACGTGTCTCTCACATCATTTAGCACAGTACATGAATGCTTTTTCTCCCCCACAGGCCCAGAAAATTATTTACTTTTTCTTTATAAAATGCCTTAGTTTTTTTTCCAGTCTTCATTTTCCTGTTATATTTTGATTCTAAAAAGTGATCAGAGAAACCTTTCACGTGCATCTCTGAATTCAGAAAGGGTGAGCCCCAAAATCTGCGAGGTTACCAGGAATGCTGTCGTAAGAAAATGTGCTGAAGAGGTGAACCAGAGAGAACCTGGCCTGTACCAAACTGTTAATAGTAAAAATCAGACACTGCAGATGAAACATCCTTTCGTGTAGCAAGACTGGTGCCCAAGGAGTGAAATCAGAAATTTAGAAAAATCAAGCAATTGCAGAGAAATTGAGATGTACTGTTCAGCAAATAAGACAAGGCAGCTGAAATGATTTCAAAGATGCTACCATCACATTGTATAGTAAGGGCATCTGTAACTGAGCTGCTCGTGCTGTCTGGTGGTAGAGTATCAGAGGAGCAAGCTGTATTTCTGCAGGCTTCAGAGAAACGCAACGAAGTTTCGACTTTTCCTTCACTGTCTTCTGCACTCAGACTGAGACACAGTCAGAGGTTTGGGTGGTGTTGGATCAGCCTGCTGGAGAACTGCTGTTCTGTGGGAAGTGGGCATTTCCTCTGATGGACTGCAGCCAGGGACTGCCGCCCACTGAACACATGTCGCTTGTGCCGGGTGATCAAATGCCATCAGCTGAAGTTATTCAGCTAAGTCATTCCTCTTGATCTCAGGTCTGTGTTAGTGAGGGAAAAAACAATCAGTGTGTTGATGGGAAGTTTCATGCTTAGGATGATATCAAATACTTGCAGAACTTGCAAAGCAGCAGCAGGACTCACTGATTTTCTACCCCCAGGTTTCGGATAAAGGTTTTTTAAGTTTTTTTTTCTTTTGCCAGTTAACAAGTGACAAAGCAAAAAAAGAATCCCATACATGACTCTGTGCTGAAGAACTGGCACTGACTTGCATGCATGCATCACCCAATTTTGTTACTTGTGATAGAGAGAAGACACTGAATACAATGAGAGATTTGGTCTTGCCAACTCAGTGCTATCATTTCAAGGAATCTGAAAGCCAAAAATTGGCAAGGCAGTGTAGATCATTTGGCAAACAGTATGTCATTCTTGGAGCACAAGTGTGTAATTATGTCCTGTGTCCTTCAGAGAAGAGATGCCAAAGTTCCAGTCTGAGCAGGTGGCTTGTAGCTGAGTAGAGCAAAACAACACAGAACAGTGACTGTAAGTTAACAGCAAAAACAATATCTGAGCCCTGATAAAAATTCCAGAATTAAGAGATGCAGAGATGGGTGTGGGGGTTATACAGAACCTAGACGAGAAAGCCATGTGGCTTGATGGGTGGAATTGTATCTCAGATAGGGGGAAACACTGCTGATCCTACAGTGCACACTTACAGAGCATGGAGGGTTAAAAGTGACAAAGGCAGCAGATTCAGTGTTAACGAGGTCTGTTGGTACAAAAGGTCAGTATGGAGCTTTAGGAAGAGCAGAGCAGAGCAAGGTGTGTTGGGAGCTTTATTTATTGGAGATTTTACATTTTCAAAGCTGCTTTTTAGCTCAGAATGTCACATCACCCATGCCTAGCTTTTCATCATCTGTTGGTGATTTATCATGTCAATTTGTTGAGTGATTTATTGTCTGGTCCTTTTGGAGGATAATTGTATCCATTTCCAATAATGAAATTTCTCAATTCTATTGTAGAATAGCCTCAGTTCTGGCTGTTGTAAACAGAGGGGCTTGATTCAGTGTGGAATTTTGGCTCATAATGAAGCATAAGGGAAACGTTGGCAACTAAGGTCTCTGAATACAAGAGGGAATAAATTACCAACTGAGGTCCCTGTCTTCTGAGTGCAGTGTGTGTTCTGTTGATTTCCTATGGGTGTGTTCTGTTCACGTTCAAGACTTTCTGCTATGTTTAATAAGTCTCTCAGACTTACAGCCACTGTTTGCTTTTCAATCGAAGGACTTGTTTATCCATTGGTTCCCACTTGAGACTTGGTGATAATGCTCTTGTTTTTCCTCGTGTGTGTTATTTACTGTGAATTAAGTTCTCTTTGAGTGGCCAGGAACACTTCCTTAGCCTATATCCCATGCACTGAAATTTTCTCCTCCAACTTTATAGAGCAGGGAATGAAGCAGTGAAATCTGGCCAAAAAATCATTTCCTTAGAAACGCTCTTCTGGTGCTTATTCACTCATCACTGCTTGACATTGCCCCTTCGTTACAGTCCTCTACTCTTCTGTGTGCGGAGCAGCTTCACCTCCTGCATCAGGCTGGATGCTTCTCCTTTCCTTAGCTCTTATCAGGAGCCAGGTTGAGAAGGTTATTAAAACTCTGAGGCTGTCAGTGCTCCAAAGTGCCTCCATCCTTCTGTGACCTTCTGTTGATCTTAGCATCTGTAAGGCATCTCTGAACACATTTACCTGCCAGGTCAATGCAATTGGCTGCGGTGCAGGGCTGTGAACAGGTGATTTCTCCTGGGTGTGACATTTTCTCACTTCATTTAGTTGTTTCTTTAGATGTAAGCTCTCAATGTTGGATTTTGCTTGTAGTTTGTGCCACCCTTTTCATTAGCAATAGTGTGGCAGTTTAGGAGATGCTGGCTGGTCAAGCCTGGACTATTTCTGGAATTGATTTGTGTGTGTGCACAGCAGTAGGATTTTATGGTGCAAATTCCCTGCAGTCTTTTGGTGTAAAGAAGTATTTCTGTCTCAACAAAAGGAGCAGAACTGGACATTTAAATACATAATGCCTTGAGAGCTGCTACTGCTGTTGATTTATAGAGTGGCAAGTTTTTTGCTGGACAGGAAATATTAAAATGTGATTGTCTTAGCTACAGACACTCATTAAATAATACTGAGTTGTAGCAAAAGCTTTTCATAATGAATTAAACACTGCCACTGCATGTCGCTTCTCCTTTGTGTCAGTGCACACTCGTGTTCACTTTCAGATAATTATCCTTTTTTACTGCCAGAAGATACAGGTTGCCTCATCCCATGAACTGAGTGGTGTGTGGTTGTTTGGACCTCGTGTACCAGACCTGGTCTAAGCCTGGGGGGCAGAGAGCAGAAAGTTTGTGAGAGTAGATGAGGGAATGAGGCCCGTGCCTCAGATAAAACTACATGCAAGGTCTGCCTCTGAAAAGCAAATGCGACCCGTGGGTTTTGTTCCATGAAAGACATTTCCACCATCCCACTCAACACAAAGGAAAGGAGTTCAATACCTCCTTTTGCTGAAAGGCAGGTAAAGATGTAGGAGTAAGTGAGACTTCAAAGCAATTGCAGAAGATTGATCACTACCTCAGTGAGCAAGCAATGCTGGTGAGGCAGCATCAGCACACCAGGAGGCCTGCTCAGTACAGCAAGGTTGGACATCCACTGGTTCAGTCACTAAGGTAGGCAGGGAGAAGATGGAGAGGGGTGTGGGAAGACTAACAGCTCAGGCAGAGAGTGACAGGGTGAGGAGAACCCCTGCCGTGCTGCTCACAGTGTGAGTTGCCCAGGCTCCAGCGTGCAGAATGATGGCGTGTGGAAGGCTAAAGCGTAGAGGACACTCAGCCTCTTCTGAACAAAGTCTTCCATTTTAAACTGTGTGCATATGTTTAGTAGGTGGTGGTTGTTGGAGCTGTGTTCCCTCAACATTGTAATGTCTGTTTTCATCTAAGTGACTAATTTTTTTTTGCCCTTCTCTTGTAGATCTCAGATCTGATACGACAAAGCACAAAGGAGTCCCCGCTCTGGGAGTTCCTCAGCTTGGGGTATGCACTCATGCTCTGCCCATTTGTCGTTGTCCTAGGAGGGATGTTTTTCCTGGCCACAGCCCTATTCTTCCTCAGTGACCGAGCCAAAGCTGAACAACAGTGAGTAACCTGGCAATTGCAAATGGGGAGGTACCAAAGCCTGTATTCTTTCTTGAAATTATGCTTGTACTCTTTCCTTGGGCCTTGGTCCCTCCAGGTAAAGGATGTTGGGTTGTATGCAAAGAACCTCAGCTCAGCAAAGTGCATGAGGCTGCACGAAGCACAGGGGCTTGTGTCAAGCTGGCTGGGCATCCTTTACATGCTTCTGCTCTGGTGGATCTCAGTTACTGGCCTTATGGCCTGGAGGGGAGCACAGTACTTGAGATCACTGATCCCTTTTACCCTTGCGTGAGCATGCACAGACCAGGCCATCTGTGGTGAGGGGTTGCTGTGTGCTGGCACCTGTAGACTGCTAGGTGAAGAGCAGTAGATACCTCACAGAGCTTTGTGGTCAATGTTGAACACACGGTCCCATCTCAGACTCTCGTACCATGCTCACTACCTCCAATACACCGGACGAGCACAGAAGGAAGAAAGCTGTGTATGTGGGGACGTAAGTGCTCAAGGCTCGCTGTGCTGATAGTATTTCCCAGTCCCTTATTGCAGCTTTTTAAAAAAAGCTACTGTTTTTCAGTAATGAAACCGATTCGGACCACCTCACGGTTGGCAACTACAGTAATTCGGAAGACGCTTCCACATGATACACACACTGCTGGGTTAGTCTCTTTCTCATAATTGTTGAACAGTAGAGTATCTGTGTATAACATCATGCTGAATATGGGGCAGGTGACTGGTTTGGTGTTGACTGGAAGTTGCCTTTGCCTTGCTTCCACTGGGAGGAGGAAGAGGTTCTTGTGACATGGTTGAGAGGCATTTGCATTGATTCAAGAACAACAGCATAGATGTGCTCTCGAGAAGTCAGTGCTGCATCCACATCGGAGTGAACTTTGTGTGACTGAGTTTGCCTGTGCTGCACAGGTTGTATTGGATTGATGACACAGATGTAGACGTGTGGGGCAGAAGATCATAATGTGGATATGTTAGCAGCCTATGGCAGTTCTGCAGACAAAGAGAGCAGGATATGCTTTGCTCTATGTTGAACAAAGTGGCTCTGGCAAGTCATTGTCACTAGATATGATACAGCTACAAGGAAAGTAAGGTGTTTGGAGTTGACATAAGTGTATAAACAGTTTGGGTGTTATTCTCTGGCTCGCACTGTCATATCCATTGAGTGCAGGAGATTTGGAAGCAGTGTCATCAATAGTGTTTGTGTCCCTCTAAGAGCAGTCCTGTCTTCCTCTTACTAACACATACAAATACCAGAAAAAGGAAAGTTTTCCACTTCCTGGTGACCATAAGTATCTATTTCACCTGTAGTGAAGTGTTAAAACATCTGCAGAGAACAAAACATCACCTGTGTATCTGGTAAGGAGGTTAAGTCTTGCTCAGTTGAACTTCACTGAGGCTTTGTGGATGACTGGTTTGCTATCATCTGCAAATAAAGGCTTTAAGCTGCAGTAACTGAAGCTAGATGTTAGAGGTTAGGAAGATCTGCTTTATGAGAAAGAAGAGGTAGATGGTACAGCAGATTGTCTGGAGAAAACATGAAACCTGTTTGAGTTCCTGAAGGCCTCCCATGCCTGCAGAGCCAGGAGGATGGCAGCTCTCTGGCTGCCTTCCAGCTCCTCTCCTGTAGTGGCAGAAATGAGCTGTATATGCAAGTTTATTAACGATCCCTTGGGGACATGGCAAGATGAACAGAAGTTTCTAGGTGCTCAAGGTGACTTTTTTTTGCAGCAGCAGGGAGCCAAAAGTTCAATTCATTGATAAAATAGTAAGTGGCAGAGCGATCATGTCTCACTGTTCTCCTTTTTTCCTACACAGATGTGTTCACTTTTGTCTATTGCTGTAGACAGCCTGAGCAGATTTGGTTATGTCAAAATCATACCAGCTTTCCCACCAGTCACTGAGTGAAGAAACTTACCTAGTTAGGCTTCAGACTTGTTTTTGCTCCACTTTCTGCATCTTTCAGTTGCCTGATTTGATTCACGTTCATTTATGAACTTGTATTACACATTCACTGATCCTAAACGTGCTATAGCAAACTGTCTCAGATGCAGAGGTACAACAGTTGTCATAAATAACAGCTAACAAAATGATTTCTCTCTGCTGCACTCTTTCTAGATATGCCCACTCCCATGTTAAAAATATTCTGTCATCTTACCATCAGATTCCTGGAGAGTGCAGCTTCACTCAAGTTTGACACATTGCTGAACAGTGAGGCAGTATCTTTATAAGGGTTGGCAACTGCTGAGTGAGGCTTCTGCCCGTGCCATGTGCAGTGGGATCTGTGCTGTCAACTGGGTCCTGTCTGCCACTGCTGAGAGGTTCACTGGTCTCCTTGGAAGAATTTATGGGGGAGGATTTGTTATTAGCTGCATGCTTTCCTGGGAGAGAAAAGACAACTGGGTGCTTTGCTATTAGCAGCTTACAGCTCCGTGCTGGATTTAAACCCAACGTCCAGCTCCCACCTACCTGACAGGCCATCTGTACTTGGCACTGCACACCTCTGGCAAGGATAGCTCTCTGCCTGGCCAATCCTCTCTCATATCCTACCTATTATTCACTGGATATGGGGGAATTTCTTCTTCAAGAAGCCGTATTTTCTCTCTGCAGTCAATCGTGCTGCTCAGGCGACAGGACTTGGAAATGTGCTTTGCCAAAAGAAATCAATTAACCTGCAGGAATCGCAAACACTGGTGTCACATGCCAGAGATTAAACTCGTTTATCACCAGTAGGGTCAGGGCACACAGGCCAGATGTCACTGACCTGTCTAATGAACTAATATGGAAGCAAAGAAGGGTAACACTGCTCTCTGCAGCCTTGCTCTGCCTATGGAAATGAAGCTTTCTCTGCTTCAAATCAATGCTTCTATGAAAAGTAGTTTAGATGTTTTTTCATTTGTTTCTTCCTGTCTGTAATGCTCTCTGGGTGTTTGCTTTGAGATAATTTCTTCTTCCAAGCAGGACAGCATACCAGCATAGCAACCACACTTTCCTGTAAAGCTTTTTCCAGTTTCCACCACACTTCCTTTCAAAAACAGAATTTCCAGGCTTTCAATGCCTAGTGGTGTTTTTACACTACTTTTGTCACTGCCACAATTCTTGGCATATTTTGAGCATTACTTTTTTAGCACAGGAATTCCAATCAACAAGGATGCCCCTCTCACAAAAACACTCAGGAAAAAAAAATTCTTTGTACAGCAACTCTTTTCTTAAAAACTCCTGATTCTTTTGCTGTGACCTTCAGCCTGTCTTAGGAGCCTGACAGCTTAAATAGGCTTTTAGTCAGTTTAGGACTAGCAGAGAACACAACACAGTACTTCACTCCTTAATGTAATCCACTCATTTTTGGTGCAATTTTAAAAACACAAATTTACCCCCACTCTTCTAAAGTGATAAGAGACAGAAAATGGTTAGAGAATGGTCTCTGTGAGAGCTCTTGTGCACTAGAAATGATAAAGAGACAAGTTCTTTTTGAAACCACTCACCTGCAATCACTGCTGTGCTTTCACTTGCCTACCCTGTTTGCACATCCAGTTCTGGAATATTGTGGTGGAGGGTTCAAGCCCTCATGTTTTCTTGCCAAACATGACTACATTTGTAGTGTTTGTGACATTCAAGTCATAGTTGGAGATGCCCTGGAAAACAGCGTGTACAAATAGAGTATCTTGCCATGGCAGAGCCCTGCATAAACCCATCAGCAATCTGATGGCCTCACTGTTATTCCTCAGCTCCATCACTGGTATCTGGGCAGCTCTAGCAGGTTATCAGCCAGAAGGCAACTGCCAGAGCACCTGGGGTATTGCACATGTTGGAAGCAAGAGCTCAGCACTGCTTAGAACTGCAGCTGCAGTCTGTCCTCTCCCTTGCTCATAATGCAGATAACTTGAAAAAACAGAGATTCACCCTGGAGTTGTAGAAGAAATGCCTGCAATAGTACTTATTAGAAGCAGTGGCTTCACTATTAATTAGGAAGAATGTGCTCTTTTCATTAGGTAAAGTGAAAAAATCCTTTCCCCAAGCTCTGACAACTTTCAGGTGCCAGGGCATATAAATCACTGTAATGTAATTATCATGTAGCAGGATGCTTTTCTGGGCAGCCAATGTGAGTGTTGAGCCTCTGGAGTTTTGCTGTACAATGATTCTCTGTTTCTGTACAGGCACAGACCTGTGGGACCCCTGATGCTCTGCAGCAGGCACAAGTGATCCTACAATCCAGGGTCCTGTCTCCCATGATGTCCACATCCAGTTGTTTCTGAGGGAAAACCCAAATTCACCTCCATTTTTTTTATGAGAAAGATTGCTCTGTTCAGGTATAGAATAATCTATCCCCAAAAGGGCTTTTTTTCTATATCAATTTTTATTTAATCACTGATTCTATAGCAGGAGAGGTGAGATTTTCTATTCTTTCCTGTGCTCACACAGAGATACACCTGGATATCCAAGGTTTATTACTGTTCTGTCCCTCTCTGCATCCTTCATGATATATGCTGGGTATTTTTGCCAAATATACAGCAATGCAGATCAGGCAGCAGGATGCAACTGCAGTGTATATCTCTGGCACAGATACAAACAGGAATAAATAGCTGCATTGATGCAGATGGTCAGAACAAAAGAATGTAGGTATTTAGCTAGCTGCCACCCATCACTTCAGAGAGATCTGCAAGCATAAATGGTTTGCCTGTTTGTTGTTTCCATGACTAGTAAAGGCTCAGGCTGCTCGTATGGCTCTAGCAGGTCTTTCTTCTTTCATAAAATTAAACATTTCATTAAAAAAAAAACAAACACCTTTGATCAGATGTGGGAACGCCAGCTGAGCAGCAGTTGGTAATTAATATTTGACTTTAAAAGTGGTGGGTAAACCATTGGAAAGAAAAAGCTAACTACAGACCATGTAGTGAAAGACACAGAAAGAACAATTCCTAGTTGCATCTTTTCTGCTGTCTTAAACACAGCAAATCTGAAAATTACATTACAGGAAAAATGAGAATAATCCATTTTCAGACTGTCTTCTGCTTCACATCAGGCTTATTTTTAGCCTTTTCTAGAACTAGATATAAAATGATCTCCCAGTTCTCCTGTTGCAGCAATTTGAAAGTGTCTGACCTTATTTTTGCTTTGCAGATTCTATTTTGTGGGGCAGAGAAAGGCCTCACAGCATTGTCAACCTTCTTTTCTCTGATTTTTGTGTGGCAGCAGTTAGAGACAGAAAGGAACCTGTGAAATAACCTCATGTTGTTGTCAGCACAGCAGAAACCCCTCCATTAATAGTGTAACAGGTACAGCTGGTATGCTGGACTGGTGCACGGCGCGTCCCATTCTGGTCGTCTGCATTACTAAGACAAATATGCCCTCCATTAAATATTTTAGGATCCTTTGCAAGGTTACCTTGCTTCAAGGAGCTGGACAGAATGCTTTTTGAGCTCAGGTAAGATGCCCTTAGCCTTTTGCAAGTGTACCAATCTGTAGTAAAAAAAACCCCAGCAAAGAGATTAGGTTGCAGTGTTGCGATGATGAAGGAAGAGAGGCAAGTCACACAAAAAATATTCATAGACTGCAGATGGAATAGGATTAGACAATTAGATGGTTTATATGGAAACGCTGGGTTAGGAATATGAAGAGGTGGTGAAAATAGTAGTAGTTTTTTTTACTG